TGGGCCTCACTGCTCAAGCTGCTGCCCCTTGACCTGACTACAGAACAAGTGGAAGAGGATTGATTGGATGGATACCATACCATACCATACCATACCATACCATACCATACCATACCATACCATACCATACCATACCATACCATACATACCATACCATACCATACCATACCACTTTATTTATAAAGCACTTAAAACAGCAACAAGGCCAACCAAAGTGCTGTACAGACAAAACAACAGGTAACACACAAAGCAAAATACAAAATGAGGTAAATCAGAATATAGACAAAAAAACGATGCAGATAATGACGACAAACCAGTGTGGAGCATACAGGATCAAAACACAGATCATCTTGTGTTGAAAGCTATTGAATAGTAGTGCGTTTTTAAACGGGACTTGAAAACCGAGAGGGAAGGGGCCTGTCTGACAAGCAGAGGTAACTTGTTCCAGAGTCTTGGTCCTGCTACAGAGAAGGCCCTGTCACCTCTGCGCTCAAGACGAGTTCCTGGAACTGTGAGGAGCAACTGGTCCGCTGACCTCAGGGAGCGTGGTGGGACATACGGTTGTAGCAAATCAGAGAGATGGGTGGGGGGCGACACTGTTCAGTGATTTGTAGACATACATGAGTATTTTGAACTGGATTCGAAAGTGAACCGGTAACCAGTGCAGTGAGGCCAAAACTGGTGTAATGTGCTCTCTTTTGCCTGTACTGGTTAAAATTCGGGCTGCTGCATTCTGGACCAGTTGTAGTCGTGCAATGGAGGTTTGACTGATACCAAACAGGAGCGAATTGCAGTAATCAAGCCTAGATGTAATAAATGCATGTATTACTGTCTCCAGGTTATTTTTGGACAATATGGGCTTCAGTTAGACAGCCGCCTCAGTTGGAAGAAGCATGATTTAACGATCATGTTTACATGATTGTTAAGCTTCAGGGAAGGGTCCATTATCACACCCAGATTAGTGACTCTTTGTTTCTCTGACAGGGTTAGAGCGGAAAGGTCGATGCAGTGGTTTGTGATCGTGTCATTGGGAGGGAACAACATGACTTCAGACTTCTTTTCATTGAAACTTAAGAAATTCAAAGCCATCCAGTCCCTGATGTCAGCCAGGCAGTTGAGCAGCGGTTGAATAGAGCATGTACCATTGTTTCTTAGGGGAAAGTAAATTTGACAGTCATCGGCATAGAAGTGGAAGGGCATGTTGTGTTTCCGGAAAATAGCACCAAGCGGCAGCAGGTATAAAGAGAATAGGAGGGGACCCAGTATGGACCCCTGCGGAACCCCCCATTTAAGCTCTGCCTCTGCGGAACTAAAATCCTTGATGGAGACACAAAAAGATCTGTCAGTGAGGTAAGATCTGAACCAATTGAGGGCTGATCCTGTGACGCCCACCCACTGCTCCAACCTAGCAATGAAGATCTCATGGTCGATGGTGTCAAAGGCGGCTGGATGGGTAGATGGATGGATGGATGGGTAGATGGATGGATGGATGGATGGATGGATGAATGGATGGATGGATGAAGACAGAGATTTAATGAATGAATGGTGTCGTGGATATTTGAAGCATAAAGATGTCGCCCCGTTTCTCACACCAACATGAGACAGGATGAAACAAGCTGCTTGTTCTGTAAAAGGTTTGCGGTGGGGTCAGGTTGAGGTCAGATCAGCAGAGTTCAACTCATGTGAGGTCTGAATGTGCCACCGGACAAGATATTACTTCTGAAAGAAAATTCAAAATGCTTCCAATAAGTGTGAACTTTAAATTTAAAGTGTGTCCCTCTCTGTTCCAGGTTTAGATTTAGTGAGGCGGTTCAGTCTTACTCAACGTCTCGTCTCATTAGAGGAGGAACACACAGCTTCTCGATACAATCGAAGGACTGAGGTCATCACTTTGATTTGATCTAAAAATGTCCGCAACAGCAAGTCTTAATATTCAAATTGTTTCCACAACAAAATATTGGATGTAAGACATTAAAAGTTAAAGGAATTAATATCGCCCGTCACCATTCACACCACAGTTTTACACTAAAATCATTTAATGGTGAGAAATGATGGAGTTGTAGCAGAAACTTTAAAATAAGATCTGATCAATAACAGTAAATAGCTCTGAAAATACATTTATGCAATATTATTATATCTTGCATTACCTATTAGTGTTTGGAGTGTGTGATGCGAATGACTATTACCGCTCCAAATGTTTGCTCAGAATCTGTAAAGTCACTGAGGTATGGCACTTCTGTCTGGCTATGGTTAAGTACCTGTGGCAGCCATCTTGAATTGGGTTGACTCCAAAAGACTCAACTCTTCACCTACACCTCAAGGATACGGGACACAAATGTTCATATTTTGGACAGAGAAGACAGATAGTTTGGGGGGTGGGGGGGGTGAATGAAGCTAATTATATAAAACGAGATTAAACAGAGGAGGAAGTCTCAGATTTCAATTTTCAAACATTTATAATGCAACTTTAGGCCTGATATCCAGTCTCTTTCATACCTTTCAGGAATGTCATCCATGTGTCCAGAGTGGTCCATCTGTGAGTCAGACTAACAAAGACCCTAATGAACCTCTATTGTGAGGCGTGATAGGACAATCTGCATATGCATCTATCTTTCCTCAGCTTTATAACTCGAGCCCCGCACTCCCTGTTCTTTGAATTGTGACAGCTCCTCGAATGAGAAGCGAATGTCTTCTGTTACTAAATAAAGTCCAGTTGTTTTTGTCTTGAACTTTTTTGAGTTGACTCGAGAAGTTATAGGAACATCTATTGATTACTGTATGGGAGTTTCATTAAAATCCATTCAGTGGTTGATCAGATATTTGGCTAACATACAAACACAGTTAACTTGAGCCGTTAATGCCAAGGTTTTAAGTATCTGTAAAAATGGTCACAGATGTAGCCAGTCCTGTGTTTTCTGTGGCGACCATCTTGAATCAGGTCAACTCTAACAGCTGTAGAGGCACATCTAACGATCACCTTCTGAACGTTTCATTAATTTTTCTTCAGTCATTCATGATATATTTGGCTAACTTTACACACTTTGTGACACCTTTTCTGATGGGCAAATATTAAACCCTGAGAGCTTTTTAGGATTTCTGCTGCGACGACAACGTGCGGCTTCAATGCGAGCGCTGCTGCATCTCCTCGGTAAAACAGGTGTGATATTGCGAAGGGAATTCTGGGTTTATCGATTAACAACTCAGACATTCACATGTTTGCCTCTGCATAAATACGGCAGCAGCGATCCACAGAGCAAACAACGGAGTTAACCATAAACCACATAGACAGAAACAAACTCAGCTGGCAAAAACCTGATTATCCCCTTTGTCTTTAATTAAAGGTGTCAGACGTTCAATAACTCAACTATGTGGTGGACACAGCACACAGCAGGTCAGCGAGCACGTTGCCATGGAAACTCAGGCGTTTCAGGGTTGAGAGGAGGTGAATGTGAAGGATGTTTAATGAAAACTGCAGTGCTCTACAGCAGCCGGTGTATTTTTATTGAATGCTGTCGACCCCAGCACCTGTTTTCCTTGTCAGAAATGGGCTGCGATGCTCCGACTGAGAGAGAAGTCCACGATCTTAATTACTGCTGCGGTTGACGGTCGCTGAGGGAATTACCAGCAGGAGCAGACTGTCAAGTAAACCTTACATGAGACGGCTATAATTACCTCTGAGTAGCAGGTATAAATTAAGTACAGTTGCCTGAATCTGTGATACAGATCTGAACACGTATCACCCGTTATACATGTCCTCTAAGGAATGACCTTCAGCCAGTGTTTGAAACTAAGATCATTTTATGTTGAGAGATGATCAAGTTAGAGCTACTTTGGTCCATTCTTTAAAAAATTACAAACAAAAACATGATATGATGCAATATTACAATATCTCATGTAACGTGTTATTGATAATGAGCAGGGATTTTGAATGAATCTCAGATATTTCTTCTTCTTTCAGCTTTTCCCTCTTCAGCTGTCGTCACAGCGAGTCATCCTCCTCCATCTCTGTCCTCTGCATCCTCTGTCCTCACTCCAACTACCTCCATGTCCTCTCTAACTGCATCCATATATCTCCTCTTTGTATTTTTCCTGGCAGCTGCATTTCTAACATCCTTCTACCAGTATACCCACAGTCCCTCCTCTGGACATGTCCAAACCATCTCAGTCTGGTCTCTCTAACTTTATCTCCCTGTTGTTCAACCTGCGCTGTACCTCTGATGATCTCATTCCTAATCTTAGCCATGAATGAGTCTCAGCTACTTCCACACTTAATTTTATTTCAAAATCTGTAAAAATTGCAGAATCATTTTTGTGTTTGCTAAGGTCAGTCAGCTGTGGTGGCCATCTTGAATAGGGTTGACTCCAAAACTTCATCTGTTTTATACGTGCAGCCGATAATTACTTTCTGAAATATCAAAGTTCATGCTTAATAATCCAGGTAAAAAAAAATCCAACAAAGTTAAGTCAGGTCCTCTGGACGGTTTCTTCTTTTTGTTGAAACATTTCATCCTTCATCCAAAGAACTTCATCAGTCCAAGGAGCCACACACACATTAAAAAAAAAAACCTCAGTCCCATAAGGAGCACACTCACACAACGGGTCAACCAGTTTGATGCCAAACTGATGACTGGTTGGCCCACTATGTGAGTGTGTTATTTATGGGACAGAGTTTGTTGCAGCTCCTCGGACTGATGAAGTCCTTTGGATGAAAGATGAAATGTTTCAACACAAAGAAACCATCCAGAGGACCTGACAAATTTGGTGTACGTTCTGAAAGTTTCTCTAAAATCTGTTCAGCAGTTCATGAGATATTTTGCTAACAGACAAACAGGGTTAACTCCAACAGTTATTGCCAATTTTTTAAAGCAAACCTGTTGCAAAGAATCTTACTGTTAAGCAGAACAAGCGCCCTGAAATCCAGTTTTAAGCGTCATCGAATAAAGAGCACATTAGTGACGTGAAGGAGCCAGTTTTACGGGTGTTGTGTGTGTTTTGGTTACCTCCTCCAGTTTGTATGTGATCATGGTGAAAGCTCTGAAGACGCTGTCGGTGGAGCCCGTGATGGTGATGATTCTCTCCGGACACGAGCCCTCGGAGATGTTGACTCGTGCGCCGCTCTGTGAGGCAAGCAGCAGAGGTCAGGGGAACAGTGGAGAGAAAACAACAGCTCCAAAAGTTAGGAAATATAAATATATATTGGTGATTATGACAGTGTGCAGTGAGTTAGGCTGGACAGATCAAAGTACGTACTGTAGTATATTTGTGAGTATTTTTCATAGGTGAAAAAGCATTCAGGCTCCAAGGTCTTTTGTTTTCAGAATGTGACAAAGTGAGTTGTCACACTCAGAGTGTGTGCTGATGATGACTCTCAGCTACTACCACGTCAAACTTTAACTCAAGATCTGTAAAATTGACTGATTTGACTTTCATTTTCATGTTGGCAAATATTGATTAGCTGTGGTGGCCATTTTGATTTGACTCGACTTCAGATTTTTTCAGTTTTAGATGTACGTCCAGTGATTACTTTCCGAGAGTTTCTTTAGAAAACTGCCCACTGGCTCATGAGCTATTTTGCTAACAGACAAATAAGGTTAATGTTAAAGTTTTAATCAAATATAATGAGTAACTTTTGGGGACTATGTTTGAATGACTCAGTTACACACAGCCCAATATCTGTAAAACTGACTCATAGAAATCCGTCTTTGTGTTTTCTAATGGTAGTAAACTGAGATGATTATCCTACATTGAATTGGCTCCTAAAGATTATCAGCTATAGCACATGCAGTGAATATTTCCTGGAAGTTTCATTCAAATCTATTCAGTAGTTTATGAGATATTTTGCTAACAGACATACTTGCCACCAAATAGCTGTTGGCAACATTTTTATCAAAGACCTTGTGCGATTTTAAAGTTCTTGAACTATGTGTTGGGGGTGAGTCTCAGCTACCATCACACCAAAGTTTAGCTCAACATCTGAAAGTTTTTTGGGGCTTGTTACCATCTTTGTGTTTATTAAGATCAGTTGGCTCTGATGGCCATCTTAAACCAAGGTAACTTCAAAAGTGAATCATTTGTAGATGTTCATCCACTGATTACTTCCTGTAAGTTTCATTACAGTTGACTCAAAGATGCCTGAAACATTTTGCCAACAGACAGACACAAAAACAAGCAAAAACACTTTTTACTGGAGGGTGATAACGAGCAAGGACACCTTTTTTTTTTGCTCGCTACCAAAGCTCTTGATCTCTCCTGAACCTTTCATCTTATCTAAATTTATTGTTTTAATCTTTATAGATTAGTTTCCATTAAGTTAGAATCTGCACAAATTTAAAAGTTAATTTAGTTTATTAGTTTCTATATTTGAGTTTTTAACGTTAGCCAAATTTAGGTTGAAGTGAAACAGTTTTCATGTCTTCTGCTGGATTTCTCATGTCAGCATTTAAAGGGGAGAGCTGCAGGAATAACTAGACATTTCTATTTTTTATTCTTCATTTATGCTGTATTTGCATATTAATGTTTTGTGTGCAGTTCTCTGTCTTGTGCAATTTTTCCTTTGATTTTTTTTTTTTTTTTTTACCCTTTTAATGCATTATTTAAAGAACTTTGAAAGTTCTCTGTGCTGAATGGAAATTCAAAGACTTTGGTTCAGACTTGAAACGAGGAGCCATCCTAAAAAAAACAAAATACAGGTGGGGGAGAAAATATGCTAGTTTCTCAAGCTGTCTATTTTATTTAGCAAAAGTTTTCAAAGTTGTCAAACTCTGCTGTAAAACCAGAGTGTGGGACTGAAAGCTATAAATCATCTCAGGGGCTGTTCATGTTTGTTGCTTAATTCCATTTCAATTGATCAGATTGCAATCAGATCATGCTAATTACAGATGTGAACAGCCTCAGACAGCACTAAAGACACAATCGGTTCTGAGCCGGGCTGTAGGACCTCCTGCTGAACTGACCTGACCACACACGAGCTGCAGACGTCTTACCTGTAAACCTCCAGGAATAAAATGCAGCTCAGCCTGTGTCTGAAGACACAGAGTTTTTGTTCATTTAGTTTTTAAAAAAATAGGTAAATCAGGTCATCTGGACAGTTTCTTTTTGAAGAAACATTTCGTCTTTTGTCCGAAAGACCTCATCAGTCTGAGGCTTGCCACCAAGTACTGTCTTATAAATAGCACCTTATTAATGTGTTTCAAGCCAGCCTGCTGTGGAATTCCCAGAAAGTGGTTTTACACATGCAAAAAGGGGACCATCCGTCCAAAACAATTGATCATCATGTACAACAATCAAATGTTTGAGGCTTGATGGCCAACTTTTTACTCACAGAAACAGCCTGAGGACAAGCTGGCCGAAATGTTTCTTCCAAAAAGAATTTTTTCCATGTCATGTTTTTGCCTCTCTGTCATCGGTCATGCCCACTTCCCCGCAGCTCATCAGCGCTCAAACACTGCACCTGTTCCTCGCCCTATTCAAGAACACCACTCACCACTAACCTCTGCCAGATTATTGAACCCTCTTGGATGTAGATGCCCAGTGCTTCACTTACAGTCTTGTTTGATCTTCTCGTCTCAACCCCACGCCTGCCTTATGGAACTACTGCTCTGCCTGCTCCCCGTTCTCTCGTTTTGCTATTCTGAACTTGTTGCCAACTACCGTATTTTTCGCCTATAAGTCACATATTTTTTGCATAATTTACATGAACTGCAACTTATAGGCCAAAGCAACGTATTTATAGATTTTTTTCCCATATTTATAAACCAATTTTTGACTGAGATATGACCGTTTTCATTTATTTTGACAGAAAAAAAGAACAGTTTTCCATTTCAGCCACTAGATGGCAGCAGATTAGTAGTAGCAGTAGGGCATGCTGTTGTATAATGTAATAGGTAAATGTGGCTATAATGACAAATTCAAAAATGTTCAAGACAAAAACAACTGGACTTTATTTATTATACTATACTTTATACTTTATTGTTTTTGTCTTAAACTTTTTTGAATTTACCATGTCCAGGATGACGGAGAATCTTCGCCAGCTTTTAATGGCACAATCGGCTTGCAGTAGTCCCACCTTCGTTCTGCTCGATGCTTGGAGCAAGTCAAACCAGCTGCACCTCCCAGGCGAAATGCAGCTAATTTGACCATTAAAGTGCATTTATTAAGTAAAAGTTCAAATGAGACACATCTTTGCTATAATTTTGAGCAAACAATTGTTTTAGGTGTTTATTTTGTTACATTGCAAAGAAATGCAGAGGCTCGTCCCTCTGCACGTGCCCGCCACTTCCGCAAATCGGGTTTTGAAATACAAATTATTTGACTGTCAAAGTGCATTTATTAAGCAAAAGGTAGACTGAGACACACCTTTACTATAATTTCGAGCAAACAAATAATTGTTTTTAAGTGTTAATTTTGTTAAATTCATGTTAAAGTCCTCCCATGCACGCTCCCTCGGCCGCCATTTGGCAGACCATCAATTTTTGGGACAACACCAGCCCACATTTCTGGATTTGGCCCACATTGCCGTGTTGTCAGCAATGACGCGTAACAAATGCGTCACGTCAGCAGTGACACATCATAGATGCAACGTATACGGCGAAGCAACATATTTATGGATTTTTCCACTATATTAGACATATTTGGACTGACACGACTTATAGGGCGTTGCGAAGGGTACGGCGGAAAATACGGTAATCCTTTTGGCCCACTGACCCTGAATTACGTATTACCTTTTGGATTTGTTTCTGGACCTCTGACTCCCTGTGCTTGACCCCCGCTTGGTCTCTCGGACCCTGCTTTTGGATTGCCCCCCTGACCACGTTTATCACAGTGCTCCTCCTCCGCTGCCCTTCAACCAGTGACGGTGAGGTCATCTTATCCTTCTTACAGGTGGATCCCATCTCATCTGCCTGAGAAGGTTAGTGGCTGTTTTTCTGTTCACGATCACGTTCTCAGAAATATACAGACCGCTAACTTTCATATCTCTGCAGATTGGGCCCAGCACTGGACCTTGACTCCCACCAGAGGTTGCATTACAATAAACTTTTAACCCTTCTTGCTGGCCAGCTATTTTACCGAACCCTAAAATCTGATTCATGTCAGTCCAGATGACATTATTTTTTTTTTTGATTTATGTACCTGGATGATTGATCTTACAAACTTTTTTTTCCCCCATTTAGTTTAATTTTATTTCTTTATTTTTCCCCCAGCTACTTTTCCCTGGATGACCAGGAGCTTTGAGTTTCCCTTTTGTTTATTTGTTCTGATGGTTTTAGGGTTCACGGTGGTGTGTCAGCAGGTACGTTGCTTTCAAATCACCTAATTGGGGGAGTGGTGGCGCAGAGGTTAGAGAAGGTGGGCCTGTGATCAGAAGATCGTCAGTTCAAGCCCAGGTACCGACAACATTAAAAAAAATGTGAGTGGGGTAGGTGAAGCACCCACACCTGCCACCACCTTCATTCGCCCCACTCTGGGCCCATGAGCAAGGCCCTAAACCCCCATCTGCTCCCTAAACAGGTCTCTCTTGAAAATTAGTTATTGCGGCTCAATGAGACTACCTGGATAAATAAAGTGTAAATGAAAAAAATAAAAAAATAATTGAACAAAACACTGATGTTCTGTTCACGCGGATGGTTGTCAGCACACATGTTTCGAGGTACACTTTTAAACAGCAAGGTGTGATCTCTGGACCGCAATCAGATTACCGGTACCCAAAACAGATAGAAGTGCAAGGTCTGAACAGCTTCTTAGTCATTTTAGGACTGCTAATTTCATTTGAGAGCTATTTCATTTAATTCATTTAATTTAATTTCACGAGACTCCGCGATGACGTTAGACTCAAAGCAGTAAATAATGTTATTAACTTATTTTTATTTATATGAATGTTTCTGTTCAGTGCCCTGAGATGACTTCTGTTGTGACTTGGTGCGGTATAAATAAACTGAATTGAATTTATTTACGAGTCTTAGGGACACACAAAGACAGCGCTCTGACTTCAGGGATCTGCTCTTCCGTTGGTTCAATAAGTCTTTATCCCTTCTGTGACTTTATTTTGGAGGAGAGTAGAGATAAAAAGCAGCAAAGGTCAAAACAGCCGGGCCGGTTGAATAGATGGCTGGATGCGTGACTGCTCTATCCGGCTGCATTGTCCCGTAAACGCCCCACTCCTCTGTTTATCTTCTGCCTCATAAAGCACAACGTAAAACCTTTTAAGCAGTAAAAGAATCAAATGTGTCGCCACTAGCGCCAGACTAATTACTTTTTAATACTGAGAGTTAACCAAGAGGTATTAGTTTGGCCGTACTCTTGAGATTCATAAAGAGTGGACTGAGGGGCAGATGGAGGGGGAAAAATAAGTTGTTTTAATTGGAAAAAAAAGAGGAAAGGGATTTGGTGAGAGCTGCTTGAGGAAGTGAAGAGTAAAGAAAGAAAGATAGGGTTTAAATTGAAAAGATGTTTTTATTACCCAGAAGGTAATTTGGACAATAGATGTGTTTGGTTTGCTTTTAGGGTGCAAAGCTCTCAAATAAGATTTTCTTTCTTTCTTTTTTTTATTAATTCATCAAACTGCCTGCAAGTCTGAGCAGCATCAGGACCACAGGAGATTAAACAATGTTTTCTCTAAAGATGAGCTGAATAAAAGCGCCTCGTGTCCTGACATGTAAAACGGAAATACGGCGCTTGTTTCCGTTAATTGTAATAAAAAAGCGCACATGCGGCACACACTCTCACACGGCACAAACACAGCACAGACGCTGCACAAATGATGAAAAGTCGTGCTTTTGAGCCGTAAATCGGGAACACTGTACCTCTTCTCGTATTCGTTTCACAGTCTCTCCTTTCTGAAAAGACAAAATGAAGGGCGGCTTTAAACACAGTCGAACAGGCTTCAGCTCCAACATCACAACGTCCTCGACCTCTAAGTAAGGCTGCCATTTTAAACCTTGAAATTCTGCAGAAATGTAAAAAAAACAAAGCTCCTAACCTCGAGTTTTTCTGCAGTGCATCCTGGTGATGTCCTCTACTCTAACTCTGCATTACATTTCAGAGATATAAAGCAGGGAGGCTTCACATAAAGGCTGCATACTGAAGGATCAGCGTGAACCACAATATTTTTGTCACACTGGCTTTTTGATTGCTTCTTCTCCTCTACTCCACTTTATTCTGTCTGAAGTCCGCCCAAGCTCCTCACACCCTCGCGTATAACCTGACACTTCCTCACAAGAAGATCAACAGCTTCATCTCAGAGCTGCTGGTCGGTTCTAGTTTTGGAAAATAGAAAATCTGTGTTCTGTGTGACGCCACAAGAAATCAGGGGTTCGGCAGAGACAGGAAGGAAGGAGTCATAAGTTATTTGTTCAAGATCTGCAGATCACATGCCTTTCAAGGTGCGCATTAGTAGCAATCTTTATTTCGTCACATCCTTTGTTTTCTGAGATTTATGGGTTTCTGCACTACATGGCACATCCGCTGTGATATCTTTCTTTCCAATTATCTGTATTCAATTATTTTCCTCCTTCCTCCCTCTCAGGTCTTTCAGGGCTCGATCACGGAGGCTTCTGAAGCAACACTACCTTTCCTAGCAGACACTAAAAGCACCCACAAGGGGCCAACAGTAATACGTCTTTGGAGCTCGATTTCAACAAGAGGCTTGCAGTCAATGCACTAATGGTTTTGTTTGATGGATTGCCATAGTGCTTTATGGCATGTTGAGTGGGGGTGGGGTGGGGGGTGGGGTTTGCAGAGGGCTGGTTTGAGGCAATTATAGCTAGGATGAGGATGCTCAGGAGAAAGATTGTTTGGATGATGCTACTGTGCTTGCGATTAACAGAATCAAGGAGAGGAAGATAAGGAGGAAGTTGTGAAGGGTGCCATGCAGCTACTGCTCAAAATTTGGTCTGCTGCCTTCATACATCTCCTCCTACATGTCACAGCGTGAGTGCAGCTACAGCGTGCGCTCTCAGGACATCATTACATGCAGTTTTCTCTCTGTGAGGACTGAACTTGGCAAAAGGGCCTTCTCCTACTCGGCTCATGTTTCCTGGAATATCTTGCAAAAAAATCTGAAACTCTCGACCTTGACCTCTCTAAGTGGCTTTGAACATCTGCTAAGTTCTTTGTAAAAAAAACAATGCAGACATGTTCCTGTTTTCAGTGTTGTACATCGCTTTACAATCTAGCTGTTTTTGTTTAATTTTTTAATACCATTTTTTCCATTTTTCTTTCATTTATGCTTCTCAATTTATATGCTTTATTTTATGATTGTCTACTGTTGTCATCACTCTTTGTTAAAAAAAAACAGGTCTCTCTTGTAAAAGAGTCCCCGAGGCTCAATGAGACTAACATGTATAAATAAAGGTTGAATGAATGAAAGTTATTGTCTTTACAGCCCAACAAAAGTTTGGGACCTTCATTGTAAGAATCTAAGCTGACAAATTATCCACTTTTTGATGTCTAACCTGTATAAAATGTATTAAAGAGAACCGACATAAAAAGAAATGTGAAAGCTGTGGCCAGTGATTCTGTTAATCATACACTTGGGTTTGTCACTCCCTGACAACAGCCTTAAAACAAGTAGATAGAAACTCAGAGTTGAAAGTAAGCCTCAAACAAACAGTCTCGGTACAAGAATAGTGGAATATACTGAAGAAGTTTGTGAAGAGTTAGGGGCAGAAGCATTGATCATCACACATGTCGTCTGCAGTGTTTGATGTGGGAGATATGACAAATCAAACTTTGATGTCCAGTTTAGAAAAACAAACAAATTTAAAGTTCTGATACAATGGAGGTCTATGAGGGTTTGAGATGACACTCTGCTTTCTGAGAGGATTTGAGAAAAACGTAAATCCAATAGCAGTAAAATAAGACAAAAAAATCCTACATTGTGATAAACTGTATGCAAAGTGTACAGACTGTGGCAATTGGAAAAGTTATGGACAGTTTAGACAGCTCAAAGGTTTGTGAATGAAATAAAGTTAAACACTGTCTAGCAAGGCACCGCCCCCCAAAATAAAATAAAAAATCTGATTTGCGATTGTGTAAAACAATACATAAATAAACCTTGAGAAAATTGCCAGTTCTAACATTTAAAATTGCAAACCTTTACTTTGTTTCTACCATGACTGTGCTGTGGAGCACCAACAGGGCTGGGACTTCTCATTACTTTGACAAATGTTATCTTTTTCGACAAAAATTTGGCTGCTTTCATGTTTGTCATTCTATGTTGTGCTACCTAAAGTCACTATTCGCGATCAAGTTGCACAGAAACCTATCGATAAACTCCCATTCAGATTTTTAAAAGTAACTACTGGAGAAGAATCCAATTATTTTTCTTTAATAATGGTTACCTTTTATTTAATAAATGTTTCATGTAAACATAATAAAAAAAATCTCACCTTTCCAATGATGCTGCCAACTTCCTGAAAACAAAAAGATAAAGATAATTAGGTTTACTACAATAAATGCAAACATATACATACGTATTATATTGAATATATATATATATATGTATATAT